ATACATGTAAGTATGGCAGCCTATAATATTATTACTATTATTGTTATTGTTATTATCATTATTGTTGTAGATGTTATTACCATTACTATTTCTTAATCTTATTTTTTTAAATTACTATTATCATTAGATCTACTGTTACTTCTAATCATGAATTCAAAGATTTTGCACAGTATGTATAACGAATTACAACCTGCATTTGCATATAGATCTAGATCTACTTAGTTAAGCATACATATTTTGTTTTGGTAAGGCCTAATTCCTAAAGGCCATTGGCATTGCACAATAATTTATCTCATTTGTTATCTTAGTGCACCACTGCCCACATTCCACAACATGAATGATTCACATCACACATCCACCATCAAATTGATCATAATATCAACATGGTCAACACTGAATGAATAACATAAGAAATTCAGTGAAAATTAAGAACTCAAAGTCCAAAGCTAAAAATGCAGTTTGGACGAAGCTTAACCCACTAAATGCAAACCTAACGCTGAAAGCTTACATCTACCGTAGATAAAGAACAACTCTGTCTCTGGGCAATGGCGCCATGCACGCAGGCTCTCCACACATGACCCATGCCAAGGCAATAGGCTTTGTGTATGCAAGCCAAGCCAGGCGAGCCAAGGGCAAGGCAAGAACGGTCACCGCGAACAGTTACAATGAATAGAAACTTAAAAACTGAATGGTAAAGACCATAGTTGAAAGATCAATATTTACGACAATATAATTTTATTTTATAATAGTCTACTCACTCTCTAATTATAGTTCTGCTCGGGAACGAAGGATCGTGCCAACAGCATCCAATCTCAGTCTAGTCGCAAGTTTGATTGTTTTGGTGGTAAATATGTGAAGTTAGTAGACCAATTTACAGTGGTGTGTGGGTTATGGTATCCTCAACGGAATAAATATGTTGAAAGGCCATTGGAATCCTTCGTGCATTTTGGGGGTCTAGGCCTATATAGTTATATGCGTTTTGATCCTCCCTCTTTAGGATTATCCGCAATTAGAGCTAGTGTATAACATAAAAAGAGGAATAGCATGTAATCCATTGATATAATATTAATAGTTTGCATGATCTCGATCTCTCTCTCTTTCTCACTCTTTCTCTTTCTTTGTCTATATCTTTCTCTCTCTCCCTCTCGCTTCTCTCTCTCTCTCTCTCCACCCTTTCTTTCAGCTCTCTCCATCCTTCTCTCTCTCTCTCTCTCTCTCTTTCGCTCTCTATCTCTCTCTCTTTCCGTCATTATCTCTCTAGTCTCTCCCTCTCTCTCTCTCCACCCCGTTCTCTTGACTCTCTCTCTCTCTCTCTCTCATACACACATGCACACACATTTACAAACGCACACCTCATATCCCCCGTCTGACGCCCAAAATAAAACCGTCTACAAAAAACTACCCAAAAGACGTAAATCCATATAAATGGCATTATTTCTATATTATTGTGAATGTTGAAATTGTTGGTGCATTCGTTAAAGGTACTATGTCCCTTTTGCAGCCAACCTCAAATGCTGTAGAACTTTGCAGGAATTATGAATATGTCATGTATGTCCTATCTGTGAAATTTAAACGTTAGCGGTGTCCTCATATTCAAATTACGCAAGGAAACCCGTTTACTTGCTAGACTTCACTGTCAGACACTATTGAGTGACTGACTGGCTTTATTTCTTCTTTGGTAATAAAATACATGAAAAGAGTTGTAAAGGGTACATGAGCATTTGTCTACATCAATAACCCACTTCTTCTGATGGCCAAGATTAAACTGATTGAATCTTTGCGCAGCATAAAACGTATGACCATTCGGTACAATTGTCTGAAAATCAAGACTATTACTTTTGGGCTCTATAGCCCTAAAGTCTACTTGACAACTAATAGTCATTATTTTCCCACTTAAAGACATATTCAAGCCCCACCTTTTTTAGGGAAGTTCTAAATTAGTATTATCTTTCAAATGCAGTTGGAATTTAACTTTTTCATTTTTTTGGCCTGCAAATGGGACATAGTACCTTTAATCAATCGAAAGAAAAAACAATCATAAATAAGTCCACAGATTTATCAACAAATAAAAATTGTATAAGGGGTGAGGCTCCTTCCCTGCGCACCCATGCACCTACGCCCCTGTGTATAATAACATGAGATATGCATCCAAATAGGCCTACAAAGAAAACAAATCCAAAGTAAAACGAAATTAGTGAAGAAAAATAGTGATGCTTTATTTGGTGAAAACCTATGACAACGGTGAACAAAATTAATCTGAGCTACCAAAATAAATATGAAGTAATAATTATGGCAATACTGACGGAGTTTAGCACTGTACAGATTTTTTGCATTTAATATATGCAAAGGCCCGGCCCCGCATGCCTTACTAAAACCTAATGCAAGTTATAAATTTATACCATGTTGTCTGTTTGCTTGTTTATTTTGTTTGTTTGTCTGTATGTCTGTTTGTTAGTAAGTTTGTTGTATGTTTCAATTCTGGTCCTTCAAACGAGGAGAAGATGCATATGCCAGTTCCAAGCTTTCACTGCTGTCTATGCCGATTATCTTTTTGTTCTCAATAATGCAAACGTGAGGAGTGGAATGCACGGGAGAATGCAATAGCCATATCAACCACTTCGTTAATGCTTCAGGAATCAACGGGAGAGGGCGGGGGATGTGAATTTCTTTTTTGCAGGATTGGGATAAGACGCTTGAGCCCGCAGCTCGCAGGGATTGGTATCAGCTTCGCACCATAGGCGGCGCTCACGGGGTGGGAGGGGGGGACAGGTGAGACACAGCCCCCTCCCCCGCAGCCCCCCCCCCCACACACTTTTCCCCCAAAGTGCCCTCTTTATTTTACATACCCTTTTTACTCTGACAAGTGCCCCTTTCCTTTGTAATGAATGCGCTTTCCCCCTTTTTATTAGTGCCCATTTAACCTCTTATGAGTGCCCCTTTTCATTTCTGGTAATATCCCCCTTTTACTTTGATAATACCCCTTTTCCTTTCTAAAAAGCCCCCCTTTTCTTTCTGGTATGTGACATTTTCCTTTTTGTAATAAAGTGGCCCTTCCTCTTCATTCACAAATGCGCTTTTTCATCTCTGATAAACGCCCCTATCAAAATCAAATAGATGCCCTTTTCACTTTTACAAGTGCCCATTTTCCTTTGTAATAATAAACTAAGTACCCATTTTTAGGTATGACAAGTGTCCCTTTTCAAATCCGATAACTGCCCCCTTTATTTTGACACGTGCCCTTTTACCTTTCTAAGTGCCATTTTCTCTTCTGAAAAGTGCCACTTTTCCTGTTTAATGAGTGCTCCTTCCAAATAAGGAGAATTCCCCCAACTTGTGATAGGTGTCCCTTTTGCTTTCTTTATACTTGTAACTGCACAGTGATAAGTGCCCCTTTATTTATTTCCTACTGTCGCTTACAAAGTGTGCGCTTTTGCGGTCATATTAAAAAAGCCATATCGAGTTTCTATAAATCGGAGCAGCTTTGTGTATCATTACAGGTACCATAAAACCACAATGAAAAGCAGTTGCCGAGGGTGAAGGGGCACATGCCACAAATTCACCAGAACGAACTGTGCTCCTTTTAGAATATAACCATGCTCGTTTCCAACACTATCAAATATCCCTTCTCTCTATATAAGTCATTTTAATATAAGAAGTGTGCCCTTCTTATACGTTTCCCCTTTAAACTACCATGACAAATTCTACTCAACTGCTAAAATATTTATCTTGCAATTAACCTCTCACACTTCCTGTCTTTTTAACCCCATGCCCTTTTGAACTTCAACGAATACTAATCAAATCAATTGCCCTTCGTTCAAGAATGTAAAAGTTTAAACAATGAAGTAGTTTTCCAACTCAAGGCAACTGAATTTACATTGTCAATTGTCAACTGTCAGTAGGTCGCAGTTATGTATAAGTACTCTTACGTCATTTATTTTAGGCATTCCATGTACTTCATTTACCTATTTTGTATTGCATGACTTATAATTTATTTAGAAAAGTGCTGTATTATGTTTTATACATCTAAATCTTCGAATGTTTAATGGTACATTATATTACTATATGCATTATGTCATGTTATTACTAAAAGAAAAAAAAGTGTTTCTGCTGAATATAATTTTCCCTTCGTTTTGCTATAAACACTGCATTGTAAATTGATTTATACGGTATATATGTTTACAGAATATTGATATGTTACATTACATTGTAAATTGACTTTATATGATGTATATGTTCCCAAACAGAATATTGATTGTTACATTACATTGTAAAATGATTATAATTATGTTTATAAACAGAATATTGATGTACATCAATGAAGTTTAATAAATACAATACAATACAATACAATACATGTTAAAAAGAGACATAATTATGTGCTATGACAAGATGATTCTTATCACCCTTCATCTTCCCGAAACAATAGCTTTCTCATAACCTCATTAACAATTAAAAGTACCAAATCGTTGGCTGACCATAAGAAATTCTTATATTAATTCTAGGTTGATTCCGTGCAATACTATGTTCCGTATGGCATATGACATTTTATCCGTTTATATCATGCAAATATTAAAGGCACACTGCCATACTTGTAGCTACTTGCTCCCTCTATATAGAAAACTTCCCCAATCGGTGCCTGTTGGTCCCCCATGATCCTCTTTTTCTTATGTTAAATGAGAGCTGAGTTAATGAGATAGCCACCTGTCACAGTGACCTCGATGGCTCTCTGTGTGGTCTAATCCCTTCTGGCCCAGTAGTGGTGACGGTCTTTAAAATTTAATTAAAATGACAATTGACAAATACTTCTTTCTTGTATTATTACCATTATCAAAATTTCATATAAAAATATTATCCATATTGGGGTGAAATAAACGGAGTTGAGGAAATAAGATATATATATAGGACACGTTGTTCAACTTGAGATCGACAAATTTCTGAACTGGGTATGTACGATGTGACTTTAGAAGCGTATTTTTCTTTTTTCTTTTGCCTGCTAGAAGACTCCTCACGATTAGTCTCCTAATTCAGCAAGAGAGAGATGGATTTTAGAAAGGTAAATTATTCGATTATTTGAATAGTTTTGTGTTTCGTATATACTTCGTAGTAAAGCTGACTAGACTATTCGAATTCCAGAGTAATTTACGGAAAGGAAACGCTCTATATAACCGTTTTAACAAGTTGAAATTTAATTCAAGCTTTCTGTTATTTTTTTAACGTGTGTCCCAGCTGCTCACTTTTATGTTAGTTGAACACTTTCCATTTGTTCATTATAATGTGAGGTCTATTATCAATAATGATACTAGAAGTATGATTTCATGACTTAGCAGACGAAAAAACAGTCGAGAACGCAGTAAGATCAAATATATATTCTAGCTATTAGCAGGCCTAAATTAGTAAATAAATGAGTTTGGGATAAAGAATAATAGAGGCCAAGCCCAATTCCCAAGGAACGCTTTCTTTTTTTTTTTATTGGGGGTGTGATAACAAAATTTTAAATTGTTGTTCAAGTTCAAATTTACGCACAAAAGCTTCTGTAATATAAAAGTACAAAAGTTTATTTGATTGTGACATAGGTCTAGATCTATGTTGATATGAAATCTAACTTCATGCATACATTGACGTCAGTCTTCTTTTCTCAGATCAGAGAAGTTTAAATAATGTTTTGTGTTGTTTTTCTCCCTCTCACTTCTCTTTTTATAGACAGGAGGGGGCTATGGATCTGAATTTGAATATGACAGTGAAACAGAAAGAAAAAAGAGGTAACATGAACTGAAAATCTGAAGCCAAGAGAACCTGAAAACAACTCATAAGTCTTAAAAGACAAGTTGTTAAAATGTAATTCTGTATTGTGTAGAGATGACTATTATTTGAAATGAGAATGAGCAAAAGCCATTTATGATATTTCTTGGCTTCTCATCATGGGAACAGAACAGTGAAACAAATGTTAGTACATTTCTATGGTACAGGTGTAAATGTATTCTAACACTGAGCTACCAGAATACTTACTGCACGACAAGAACCCTGTATCACCTTTTTTCTACAAATCTTTTATTTTACACTCGTAATCAGTGAGACGTGTGGATCTGGATAAATTTATTTCTCTGTACATATATATATATACCGATATATGAGAGTTGAGTTTTCAATCACTCTCTGATTTCTACATATTGTTGACATTAGACACTTCATGATTCATAATTTATTTTTTACATTTTTCATGGAGTTTGGAAGAGTGATATTTTATTTACTAATGTGTCATTACAACATCAAAATCAGGAAAAGGAAATTTAAGTGTATTAGTTTAATAGTAGGAAATTTGTATATTCTCATTACAATATTGTGATTGTCAGTTGCCTATTTGAAAATGTTGATGAATACCGGTATATTATTTTCCAAGATCTACTTTTGAATCTAAATTGAATGCAAACGTGCATTTGTTTTTTTCAATCATATTGTGGAAGGTGAATTTTCAGTGATTTGTGCTCTTTCTGTTCAGTACAGTAGTTGTGTAACTTTTAGCATTCTGCTTCAAAAGAAAGTAACTGATACATGAAAATGTTTTGTGTTTTGAGTATGTTCTCTTCGTTATCATGCTGATACTTTGCAGTGATGGGTTTAATAATTCAGAGAAATTATGGAAGATGCATAACCTTCCATTTTTTGCTCCTCTCTTCCTTTCATAGATCCCGACAAGATCTTGCCACAAAACCGGATCAGAGTAGAGTAACAGGCGGACTCCCCTCAAAGCGATTGGCAGCAGCAGAATATGACAAGTAAAATCAGGATTTATTATTTCCTAGATATCTGTAAGATCTAGTACAGTCATTGACATTCCTTTCTTCAGCATTTTAACCCATTGCTTCCTAGAACTGGAGGCCGAGGGTCACTGTATTAAGCCTATAGAGTGGTGAAGTGTGACGTCATCAAAAATCTGTTTTTATAATTTCTAGATTCTTTCTTCATTTTCCGAAAGAGAATTGAAAATATTGCTCTGGTTCATAACATTACAAACCAGAGAAAAATAACACTGAGCTCCTATAGGAAATCTATTTATTAAGATGGTCTTATCTCAGCCAATACTTAACATATTCAATTGGTTTTCGACCTTTGGACATTATTTTTTATGCTCTTTAGGAAAATGAAGTAAAAATTAGAAATTCTAAAAATAAGTTTGTATGATGTCACAGCTTCGGTACTCTATGTGCATAAGAAAATTCAGTAGTCAACAGGTTATTATTTATAGCAAATGAGTCAATGCAATACTATTTTTCTTTGTCAAGAGAAGTTTTATGTGTTCACTCTAGATATTTCTAAAGGAAATGAATTAGATGATGCATCACTTCATTAGTGACAAATTGAAAGTCACTATAGTATTTTGTAGAGTAATTTAACTATTTTGTTACTCAGAGGCTGAGGGTATAGAGTCGTTGAATGATGGATTCTTGAGGTCCAGTAAATTAAAAGTTTTCTTGACCATTTTCATGTATGTATGCTCTATTGACATATCATCAATGTTAATTGATTTCAATTTTACATTTATATAATAAATACATAAGATCTCTTGTGGAAGAAGTTCTCAACATAATTCTTGTTTTGTATTCTTCTAATGCTCAATTTCATTTCTATGCTCAGTTTTTGTGATGCATGTTCTCATGCCATATTTAATTTAACTGCAATAAAAAATGATTGTTGTTGTAAGAAGCATGATATACTCAATATACGGAATGCATTTTTAATTTTCCTCCTTTTGTTTTTCTTTACAGACAAGAAAGTATAAATCAACTTTTCCATTTCAAGTCCTTAGATGCTGTATCCTTTGTCATAATGATCCCAGAACATGAAAGGAAAAAATCAGCGTTTTTAACCTGTTGGATGCAATATTCTCCATATTTCCCAGCTCAAATTATCTTCAGACTCAGGATTCATTGGTTTTATAGAGTGTGTTTGTTACTGTTATATTATTCTCTATCATTTTACTTTGAAGTAGAAAAAAAAATGTTATTCTCATAGAGAGAATTATCTCCAGTATTACCAGCAGTACATGTATTTGGTCAATATCAGCTTGGATATAAAACAGATATGTCAGTAGTACCTATATATCCATTGTGTTGTGCTATGTAGTACCTACAAAATGTATGGCTGGTTAAACATTAAATATATTGGTAATATGAATATTTCAGATCTTATGATTTACAAATAACCCTTTTTTTAGGGATGGGGGGGGGGGGGGAGGTTTTGAGAAGGATTGAATATCACAACATTTGGGACTATCATATTATTTGTATGGTTTAATATTCAATTATCCTAAGATAAAATTTTGAAGCTCTGAATATGGACAATTTTCCAAATGAATATTACATGTATATTGATAGATTCAATGGCTTGTTTCATACTTCCACCTGCACACTGCTTAAATTACAATTTGAATTGCCTCTCCTTGACCAAACCAATACAGTACAATCGTCACAAACAGCTAGTGAACGATTACCTGTTATACTACCCTGGGGCTACTAAGGATCTTTTCCAAAGAGATGCGTGAGTAATTTGATTTATGAAATTTTGGTGATGGCAGAATATTTTATGAACAAAAGTTTGTTTGCGAGACTTCCTCAGAACATTTAATCAGATATTGACATATTATTTTGTATTTTAGTAAATTCCAGAGCTGTGTTACAGCTATCCAGTACTATATCACTTAATTCCTATGTGTGTATTTACACTGTTTTTCTAATTGTTTATTGTTGTTACAAATATCTTATTTTGTTTTGCCTTTTGCTTTTTGTCCATTGAACATGAAGTCATAGCATCAGAATTGTGTTTTATTTTACATCTTGCTGAATAGTGCCAGTTTAGATTACCAGTTTTTTTTTTTTTTTGGGGGGGGGGGGGCCTTACATAATGGTTGGAAATAAAGAATATAGAAATATTTAATTCTATTTAGTGGTTTCCTGAATTTACAGACCAATTTTAATGTTTAGAATGCTTTCATTTTGTTACCAGTTTTTTGTTCTAATCTGTAGGTCAAAAGATAAGACTGACTTGGATGTTATCAGAGAGAACCATCGCTTTTTATGGGATGGGGAAGATGAGGGGCAAGAAGACTCCTGGGGAAAGAAACTAGCCAAGAAGTACTGGGACAAGCTGTTCAAAGAGTATTGCATAGCTGATCTGAGTCGGTATAAAGAAAAGAAGGTGAGTGTAATCTTCTGCGAGGTTAGGACCCTTTCGCATCACATTCACAAAATACAAGCCCTCTATGAAGACACAACAGGGGGGTGTTTCACAAAGATCCTAGATCTAACTTAACTCTAAGTTGGACTTGAAAATTATGGAGAGCCATTTGTAGCCTTAAAATAAAATATATTCAATAGCGAAAATTTTAGTTTTTTAGACTTTTTATAAATTCCACATCAAGAACATGAATTCTCCTCAATATTTGAAAATTTGAATGATTTGAATCAACATTTTATACCTCTTTAAATAACTTTTACAAAATATTTCCATATATGCTAACGGCCTTCCATAACTGTTGAGTCCAACTTAGAGATAAGTTCAACTTAGGATCTTTGTGAAACACCCCCCAGATGTGAGTTGGACTAGCAGCATGTCAACTCGGTCAGCTCTCTTTGTTTGTTTACAAACTGACTGACGAAACCCCAGACCAAAACTGAGTCTTGTCTTGTAGATAGTGATGTTAAAGGGGGTTGTAGCATTACGAGACTACGTGTCTATCCCTTGGCCTGACTCAGGGACAATCGGGTATAATACGACTACGGACGACGCGACCGCAGTATTCACGTACGTGCGACATACGCGAAACCGAAGCGTGAGGAGAACTTTGGTCTGTTTCGCAAATGCTAGCACGCGCTGACTGTTAATCAAATCCATTTGTTTACGTTCAGTTGTCCAAAAGAAGTCGTAGATGGCGTTAATCAGTATTTGCCATGCTACATCCCCTTTAAAGGTCAGTCCCGAGACGTAAACAAATCATACATGTACCTGTATGATACATTTTTAAAAAAAACTCTCTTGACTACCACAAATACAATGCTCGACAGTAGATGGCGACCTTCCTCCCACGCTGCGCCGTCAGCACATGACGCAGATATGATTGGGGGAGGGGGACATTGCTCCCTTCCCCCACGTCTATCACCCCACGTCTATCAATCTTTGATCCTTCACTCTGTGTACTATTTTGTTTTCCTGTAACAAAACAATTATCAACATTTGTCATTCTCATATTCCCTTCTTCACAGATTGCCATGAGATGGCGAGTGCAGACGGAAGTTACAGAGGGCAAAGGTCACTTCACCTGTGGCAACAAGAAATGCACAGAGCAGGAAGGGCTGAGGACATGGGAGGTCAACTTTGCTTACCTGGAACATGGAGAGAAGAAGAATGCCCTGGTCAAACTCAGTGAGAAACCTTGATGTAACTGCAGGGAGGGAGGGAGGGAGGGAGGGAGGGAGGGAGGGCTGAGGACTTTGGAGGTTAACTTTGTTTATATGGAGCACAGAGAGAAGAAAAATACCCTGGTCAAACTCAGTAAGAAACTTTGATGTTAACTGCAGGGAGGGAGGGAGGGAGGGCTGAGGACATGGGAGGTGAACTTTGCTTACATGGAGCATGGGGAGAAGAAGAATGCCCTGATCAAACTCAGTGAGAAACTTTTTTTTCTTCAACTTGTGAGCCCTTCACAGGCTATTTATTAATAATCTTTACACAAATAAACAAATCAAATATATGTGCATGTTTAAACACATTCAAAATAATCTTTCTATACAAACAACAATTGTAGCAACTGCCACTTTACAGCAAAATGTCTTTCCATTCCAGATAGATGTACAATATATTTGATGTAAACCTAAAGCTACATTTCAAATTCAAATTCAAATTCAAACTTTTTTCCATTTGTAAAATCCAAATTTTCAAGTATGCAAATTGATAAAAAGAATAACATGCATACAAAATGAAAATTAAATTAAAACAGTTGATAATACACTGTATAACCACATAAAATGTGAACAAGGGTGGGGGTTGAATTAAAAGTGGTTGAAATCTTTGTCCTTGTGAGTTGTAGGCCCAAAATGTAATAGTGAGATTTATATAGTCTTTAAAGATAGATAGAGTGAATGAATGAAATAATGATCATTACATATTCCAATTATAAATGGAACATTGGTACATGTGTAACTCTTCAACTTATGTTTATATATTCAATTTCAGGACTATGTGAGCGGTGCTCGTACAAGCTCAACTACCACAAACCGTGCAAGGAGGTCACCAAAACACCATCAAACACAGAATCCAAACATAGGAAAGACAGAGACTCAAGGTCACCTTCTCCTAAGAGAAGCAAAAGCAAGCTCAAGGACAAACACAAGGACAAACATGAAAACAAACATAAGGAGAGTAAGCATGAGAGACATAGGAGCAAGCACCACAAGGAGAGAAGGCACAGGAAGAGGAGGACATCGTCAGAGTCTGAAGAGAGTCTTAGCAATGGAGATGATCAGGTTGAAAAGAAAAAGACCAAGCACAGATCAAAAGGTGATTATATTAAAACCTCTGTAGGGTATTCACTTTTTATTTGAAATACATTTTGATATATCATCAATAATGCCTAGATTACATTTGCCCTGGGCGCCGTACGATAAATTGGTCTACGATTTTTGGGGCATCATAGGAGGCTATGGGCTACGATGTTTGTGTTTACATTATCTACGAGCATCGTGCCAATTCTTCCGGGACACATGGAAGCCCAAAATTTAAGTCTGGACCCCAGAAATGTTGAAGTTTTTACATAAAGTTTGTACATACCAACTGTACAGACTACAGACCCCTCAATAAAAAAGTTAGTAGGGACAGTCATTTTTCAGTAACATGAACGGTTTTTGTTTTGTTGGTTGTTTTTCTGTTTTAAACTTTGTGGTGTTTAATAATTCGGAAATATATTATGCTATATCAGTATTTTTTGTGAACACATTTTTTAATGGTTACAGTAGGTAAAAAATGTTGGATTTATTTACCCACTGTAGTCCCATCAGCATAAATACTGTTCTTCCTAAGGGCCTGCAGATACTATCCCAGGATTAGCCAGGTAACCATTTACACCTGGGTGGAGAGTGGCAAATGCTGATTAATGTCTTGCTAAGGGACGTTGGTACTGGGCTGGGAATTGAACCCTCGGCCCTTGGATTTGAGAGTCTGGTAAATGAACCACTATACCACGAAACCTCCATGTTTTATTTGATTGTATTATTTTCTGATGCCTATAGATGAAGGTGAAGGAAGTTCTGTATCAGAGAGTGAGTTCTGGACCGGCCCTGCTCCTGTAACAGAAGATAAATCAAGGTAGGTCATCAGAAAGTCTTGTGTTTGTGTCGCTAGGACAGTACAATATGGCGAGATACTTTGACAATTGATACCATGATCAGTTAAGAGTTAACATTCTGTTTATATATAACAACCATTTTATGGATTCTTATTTTAATGGTAACCATGGCAACTAAATTTTGATCTATATCAACACATGCAGTGATACTCCTTAAAGTTACCATGAAGCAGCTGAGCTCACAACACTGCTTGATTATCTCTCATCTGATCAGGGTCCTGTTTTTATAAAAACTTATTATCAATGACTAGTTACGGTTAATGATATAAGCTACTTAAATTGATGCATTTGATTGGCCATGGGCATATTTGCCACAGGAATAGGCAAGTGCTATTCAAAACAAAACAAAATTAAGAAATGGGGCCTATGTTCTTTCGGTGTTAGTTCCAATGTTAAGATTTAAATTTGCCTGTGTTACATGAGTATTTGCATGAAATCTTTCAAACTTTGATATAAATGTAATATTTCAGGTCAAAGGTTACGAGTCAACTTGCTTGGGGAGTCGTGTTATAGTTTTGAGGGAAATGTTTAGCAGTTTACAAACTCATTTCTTTTGATAAAACTTATTGCCAGTTTCAATATTACATGTTGGTGTAATTCAAAGACTGTTCAGAATAGGGGAGGGTGCATTTATAGGTAAACATCCCCCCCCCCATGAACAAAATTAACCATTTTCCTCTTCTCTCTCTCTCTCTGTCTCTTGTCTGTCTCTCTGTCTCTCTCTCTGTCTCTCTCTCTCTCTCTCTCTCTGTATGTCTCTTTCTTTCTCTCTCTCTCTCTATCTCTCTCTTTCTCTATGTATATTTTTCTCTTTGCAGAGAGGATGAATTTGATGATTACCTCAAGGATATGTTCTTATGAGAGTATGACATGTTCACACGAATGTCTTCTCAACGTTTCTTTGATGAACACATCTGGGCATTTTATGAAGAGGACATATGAAATCACCCAAAGGAGGTGTTCATACACATACAAATTTCTTCTCAGCATTTGTCAGATGGACGCATCTCAACGTTGCATTAAGAGAACATGTATGTATGGACATTATTGGGCATGTTCATATAAGAGAGAATTCTGTTTCTAGTGATCCAAATGACGCGTCCAACCATTGCATCAAGAATTCAAGATAACATGTTATCATTAATGGGCATGTTGGTATGTACTCTTCTTCAACGTTTCTCAAGTGGAAATGTCTAAAAGCATTGCACAAAGAGAACATGGGAACACTAATGAATGTGTGAACAACCTATATTAGCCAGTTCATATAAATGAAGACTGGTAAGTTGGCCCAAATGGTCACCTGTTTAAATTGAGGTTGCTTGAAATCATGATTCACATTGGTTCCTTCATCCTCATGTTGTATACAAAGAGTAATATATATGAAGAAAATCTATCCTGGTCTGTCAAAAAAAGAACTTGCTTGTTCGTAGATGTACCATGGGGCGAGGGAAGTTTCCACTTAACACAATGGGGGTTCAGAATACACCATCTTCAAGTACAAGTTCTCTAAAAAAAAAAATATTTAAAACTTTTTCACCATCTTCATGGTTAATAGTACATGTATTTTAACATTAAATATACTGTATGAAATGTCATTCTTTTGTTTCTCCTTCATTTTGTTGTCCTGTAATAGATTGTCTTCTGTATTGTTTGGTATCATTGTTTGGCATAATAAGTCATAAATATAGACATACCACAAACTTTCTACAAAAATGTCTTGACACTATTTATAAGGACAGGAAAATAGATGTCCTAAAGTGAAACTTGGAAATATAAAAATGTAATTTGTGTGACATTTTTGTGTGCAACTCTTATTTTCCATCTCTTGTCCTCTCTTTTATAACACAATGACTTGTCACAACATCACCTTCCTTCAATTATTCACTTGCTTTCTCAAACACAAATCTCCTATATTGACAGGACTTCAATTCCTCCAGTCCACTTTGAATGATTTACTGTCAAGCCCTCCAAACGTGCAGTTATAATCACACTACACATATGTGTACTTGAAATATTTAAAGCATGTGAATTGTAAAAGATAAAAGAAAACGAAGATGAATTTTTTGTCAAGTTTTAATACATGTATACATATACATATTTTAATTTTAATCTTTTAAAATGAATGAATACAATTTGTACATGAGTATCCCAACAAAGAATACTTTATATTTTGGCAGAAAATACCCTGCACATTTGTTTATGTAACCAGAATTAAAATCTATGTTAACTCTTCTTTTTTCTGAGAACATAATATCCCCATTTGATATACAATAATAGATACCCTTTTGACTAAGAACAACCAAAATGGTATTTCAAGCTCAAGAGAAATTAAAGTTAAACTTTTAACCTCAAATTAGTCTACAGAATTATGAATTTTAATGGACAAGAAACAATAACAACCATTAAAAGGGCATTGTATGATTAACAAACTCCCCAAAATAACATTAATGCCATTCTGGTAATCGGCAGACGAGTTCTTAGAAATGTACTACTAAGCAACAGAAGGGTGTTCTTATATACTAACACACCCCTCTACCTGTCGATCTTTTCACTTGTTACTGAATAAGAACAATGCTTTACGAACGAGACCATATTCACACGTTAGTTTGTTCTGTTGCTTCCAGACAAAATGGCACACCTTCAACTTCATAATGTTCACTAATTACAGATGTAATTTCTATGAGCAACACAAGTGGTGAATTAACAATCAAACACAAAGAAATTCTATGCATGTTAAAATTCATTGTATATTCATGACTTAACACATTTTGGTCATACATGTAGGCATAGGAGGGTGCTATGTCTCATTTTGGTTTACAGTATGTCAAATTCTAGAAAATGATAACAATCAAAACAAAAACTAAAACAAAAACAACAACAAATTGTTGAATCGCACCATTTTGTTGATCTGTACAAGAAATGTCACTGGAATAATTTGCCATTGAAAGTTAATCTCGAGGCATTTACAATAAAATCATGTCTTGGGTATCAAATAAAATCACTCGTCTTTCTTTAATACATCGTCTCCAAACAAGATACTGGTATTTGGAAAGAAAATATACAACAAATGAGCATGAGCATTTTGTAAAAAGCAAAAAAATATATATATATATATATATATATATTTATACACATGTATATTGATTTTCTTCATTTTCCACACAGCGTATGCATGCACACTTTGAGATGAAACCTGCCGACTGTATAGACTAATACAAAATCAGGTTCTTAAGGATACTTTTTGATAACAAACTAGCTGGGTTTTTTTTTTTTTGAGCGGGAACAATTTTTTGATTTGTCCAGCTCTGTTAATATAATGAAGTCCTTTGGTGTATTTGGTTTCTTAAAAAACAGAGTATTTGACTTCTGAAAGCAAAACTGGCAAGACATTCAAGATGCTCAATTCAATCACTATTAAAGAGTAAGCTACAAACAACTAGGATGCAAACAGCTACAAAGATGTTTGGAATGAAAATAAGACTGTTTAAATGGATAGAAATATGAAGAATTAGCTATATTTTCATATTATTACTACATTTAGTCTACTGCCCATCAAACTTTTATCTCAGTAAGTTATTTTCACAATATTCATCAATATGGCTCCATTTAACATATACAAAATTGATTATGATATCTCGAGAGCAAGATATTTTTAACTTAAACATTTGATCACATTTTGTACTACGTGTAACATCATATACAAATCAAGGCAACTTCACACATTAAAAAACCTACATTACACTGAGAGTCCTCAATCTTTTCAATGCAAACATTAAATGAAAATAGTTTTTGATTTCCCTGAAATAAGTTATTCATCCTATGTACAACTACCTCAACAGTTTTTAAGTTACAAAGACATGTGATTTAAATTTGAACACAATGAAATGTAAATGTACAAATCTTTACATGCATGTATTTCAATTTTTGTTTAAATCCTTCTCACTTTTCATTTTATCTTTCAATTGACCTTTTACTTTCTTTCAGCATATCTAATATTCTCTGTCTCATTTGTAGCAAAAATTATAACATTCAGCTTCTCTCTTTAAAGAACCACTCACACTCTCTCTCTCTCTCGTTACCATCTATTTACGGTAATAACCCTTATCTGACTATCTACATTCTTCTCTCTCTCTTTCTCTCTCTCTCTCTCTCACACACACCCACTCTCTCTCTTTTTCTCACACCCTCTCTCTGTCTCCCTCTCTCTTGGTTACTTTTATATCCTGGCAGAGACGAGGAACTCAATGATTTCATCACTTTGCAGGTCTCTCCTCGATATCTCTAACTCCCACAGTTCTCCTATAACATCTCTCTCTCTCTCTCTCTATCTTCTAAAATGCATTCCAGAACAATCCTGTTTATTATTGCCATATTGTCTGTGTTCTACTACTCAGACACTCTGTGGTAAACCCCAGGGGAGGTGTTTCACAAAGATCCCAAGTTGAACCTAACTCTCTGTTAGACTTTAACATTATGAAGAGCCATTTGTAGCCTTAAAATGAAATATATTCAAAAGCGAAAATTCAAGTATTTTAGACTTTTTACAAATTCCACATCAAGAACATGAAATCCCTGTAGGTAACAGAAAATATTAATGATATGAATCAACATTTGATGCCTTTGAAAATAATTTTTACAAAATGTTTTCATAGATGCCAATGGCTTTTCATAATTGTAAAGTCCAACTTAGGATCTTTGTGAACCCCCCCCCCCCAAGACTTAATTGACACAACAGACATGGTTCAGTAATGTCCTTGTGCCCTCTGAACAGATTTCGTGAGCTCCTCTATCCTGTCGTCTTTGAGTTTCAGGAGATGTTCTAACCGTCTCACCTTGGCTTGTAAGATCTACAGAGACAAAAAAGATGATGAGTTTTAGTATGACTTTTAGAATGGAGGGAAAAGCAAGTTGAACCAAATCTGTGCAAAGAAATGTGAACAGAGCAAAAAGGCAAAAGAAGAAAACTTCACAGTGGGAGCTAAAAGCAAGTTATGTGCAATCTGAGCAGATACCTCTCCCTCATACAGCCGGACACACTCCAAAATGACAGATAAAGGCTAGTTTTATACACAAGCTGTGGGACACTGGTATTTATAAAGTGTAATTTTATAAACATTCAATGTTTCATATTTTTGTGTATTACAACATGCAGATAAGCAAGTATAATTAGGACCTTTTGTTGAGCACAACTATATTTTTCATCTGCAATTGCCATTCATTAACAACAGCAAGCAAACAAACAAACAAACGCGGTTACTCTGGCATATGTGAACGAGTCTGGCCATTTTGGGCAAAGTAATTTTGCATGTGGTCTGATGTTGATCTCAACAGTGTGACTGGAATGAGAACAATGTGAACACACCAGCTACAATGTACCTCTGGTGAAATCACAAGAGATCACAAGAGGGCTGCAGAAAAGTTGTATTGGCACCAGTCAAACTCTTTCTTTTTTCCAGCTTACCCACCCAAGATTTCGTAAATTGAACATTTCCTCAAAAGGAACTATTTTGTCACACCTGTGCCCAAATAAATCACTGGAAAATGTGTCCTTTCCTAATCAATATTTAATATTTGTTTTCTCAATGAGAGCGAGGAAGGGGTTTCCTTACCCCCTGGATATGGCCGTGCTATAACACACACACAAACACACACACACACACACACACAAAGCAATTCAATTCCATCTTTATTTCAGCACTTCATAAGAATTAAATATTCAGATGTACATGTAGTAAGGGGTAATGATGACATAGATAATCCCAAACTTCCCAAATTCCCCAAATGAAAAACATAAAGAACGACCAGCTTTTTGGGCATCAGGCCAATATAAATACAAAATCTTTGCCAAGAAAAACATCCCCGGCAAACAGAATAATGTTTTTTTACTGAAGTAAAACAAAACGCTTGGGCAAAAATCCAGGGTTGGTGGGGACACATTCTTTATTTGCTTTTTCTTTGCTTATTAACTTTTTTGGACGGGTACGGGTCATATAACTGGGTTATCTTTAAAAATTATCTATTTCTATCCAGATAGCTCTGGAAAAATATTGACAATTATAGATTACTGATCAACAAGGAAAATATTTGTTCTGCACTATTTTCTTTCTCTGATAAATATTGACCAGGTCCCTGTTTCATAAAAAAATTGTATTGAAGGGATGATTAGATTTCCTTTTTTTGCATAAATACAAATCCATCACAAAGTCACAGATAGTTATGAATAGCTTTAACACATTTCCCAATGCTCTATTAAACTTAATAGCAAAACAGTAGATTACAGTCCCTTGTCCTTTATGCTAAAATAGCTCTATAAATAGCGTATCTTTATTACATACTTTAAGCTTTTAACATCAAGTTTTAGGTTTAGAGTAAGTGTTTTAGGACATGAGCGGATCTGTCTCCTAGAAAAGAAAGAAAAAATTTAAGCAGAAACCTTCCAAAATGTTTTCAAAGATTGGTCATCAGGTTTTTCTTTAAACATTAAAGCCCAACTGCACTACTTATACATGTATCTACTTGCGCCCTCTATATAACAAACAATGCCTAAGCAGTGACTGTTGGCCCCCCTTGATCCCCTTTTTCTTATGTTAATTGAGAGCTGATTTGATGATATCAGTGACCATGCAGGGAGGTCTAATTTCTCCTGGCCAAACTAGGGCAGTATAAAATACAGAACCCTTTAAAAATACAGAACCCTTTGAAGTTGTAGAAGATCTTATTTGTGATACATACCTGCACTGTTTCTTGGGATGCTAGTAGGGCTTGTTCTTTTTGCTCTATGACCATTCTTACAGCAGGCGCTAACTCAGGCTCCATGCCTCCATTCAACTGCTGCCTGTACGATGCCCCTCGAGGATCACTGTTGAAACAATACAGTGATGGTGATAATGATGATAGTACTGATATGATGATGGTAATTATAAGTAGTACTGTCAGATTTTCTCAAGGGGGGGGGGGGGGGGGGGGTTTAACATTTTTAAATCGGACCAAAAATTTCGCAACGCCTCAGCCAGCCGTTGAATAAGGGGTGGGGGGGGGGGGGGGGGAGGGGGTAAGAGCACATTTCTTTCTTTTTTTGGTCCCAAAATTTGTTCAACGACTCAAGGGGGGGGGGGGGTGTAAGGTCACTTTTTGGGGTCACCCTTTTGCACACAAAAAATATAACAAATTTTTTTTTTTTCTTTTTTTTTATTTAAAAAAAAATTGAGGGGGGGGGGAGGGTTCAACCCCATGTCTGTACTCAGCAACAACAAATTTTCAACAAAATAGTCAAACTGTCGAAGGGCAAATTTGCCAATTGGACATTAATCACATAGATTTAGCGATCTCACAGAATGCTCTTGTAAAATCAAAGAATATTCAACAAATTTCAGATAATTCCAAATCTGGGTCAAAAACATGTTTAACAAATGAAAACTTAAACCTCAGACCAATTTCCCTTGTTAAACACGATTATGAACAAATGCTCTAGCCCAGCATTGGGTTTAATTTTTGAGTAGAATACATGTACATGCTACTGAAAGCAGTATAATCATTTCTTTCTTTTTCCTTTATTTAAAATCCTTTAGTCAGCCTCTCTCTCTCTTTCTCTGCAAAATTTTCTTTAACTTAAAAGCAAGAGGGGTGTTATTAAAGGCATCATCTAACAATGTTAAATCTTAGATGCACGGCCCTACATGTTATCAGTGTCTGTGATATGGCGTAATATTGAAGCCCTAAAGAAACTGCTCTTCAAACTGATCATAAAGTGCCTCAAAAAGTAAAGATCTTTGAGTGACCGGTTTTACCATACCGGTACTCATTTTCCCCAATAGACTGTAGTGTTAGGAAAACCATTGGGAAAACGCAAAATTTGATTTCAATTTCCAATCATAAATATCTTGATAATCAGATCGCCGATCGGCTTGTAAAAGTCATGGGGTTCCTGACTTACCTAGTGGTTTATCATTATCATTGCAGCATGAGCTAAATCCAGGATTTTGTTTCAGAATCTGAGACAATGTTACCCAATCCCTTTAAAACCACGAGTTCTTACCTTAAGCCTTGATGTGGTGGTTTGAGTACTGTGGGAGCTTTCGGGGCTGGTGCAGCTGCCCTTGGCGGCCTTCCTGCACCTACAAGATAAGAGGTACATGTATATGTAACTACATTGAATAAAATGGCACAAGTATTAAGGACTTGTGCTGGTCAAAACATAAGATTGCGTTCATCTAGACAAATCTTTTGGAAAGAAAAGAATGAATAGGAATTTCAAAAGAACACTGTACATGTATTTTGAGGGAATACATATTTTTTCTAGCTTTGCCTGTGTCAAGGAAATTGATTGCCAATTTGGCCTTAAAACAGTTGACACATCACTGACCAACACTGAGTAGTACCCAGTGCTCCCCCCTCTTAAATCAAGTGATGAAGAACAAAAAGAAACAGAAAGAAAATGATAATGATATATGGGATCTATAAGTGCCAAATGATGAAATCCTCTTAAACTCAAATGCTCAGTGCGCACCCTTGAACAAAAAATCAAATAAAAGCATCTGCATTATAAACAAAAGAACAGAAGTAAGATAGAACAGACAAAAAGCAAGAAAACAGAGAAAGGAAAATAAAGCAGGGAAAAGGACCACCTCCAGCAAAAACCTTCCAAATTCTCACTCATTTCATTTTCTTTGTAAGACTGGTGCCCCTTTAATGTGTGGAATCACGCACGCCACTGGCAGTATCCATTAACCTGTTGGATAAACCTCTGTGGTTTTTTATCACCCCCTCCGCAGGTTCATCTTTTGTTTTGATACTTAATCATTTCTGATTGTAATTTATATTGTCTTTTTATGAATCTGTGGAAACAAATAAAATTGATTTTGATATTTTAACACATAATTTCCATAGACCACACCGGAGTTGTCTCAGGCTTTAGTATTCACTGTTAAAATATGGAAAGTACTTACCAGCTTTGAGAGCTTTTGGTGGTCTCGATGGAACAGAACCAACCTCCATCCCATAAAGATATCCATCAGGGGACATCTAGTGAAAAGAAGTCATAAATTCATGCATAAAAACTGTAATTAAGATTGTATTGATTATGTTATTATTCCTAAAATAAAACACCAATTTAAATGTACGGTATCAAAAACACAGATTAAATATAAAATGTACAATAGGAGATTAATAATATGATTTTTCGAACTGTCCTTTTAAAATATACATAAATGAGGTAGAGGTGTCGTGGTCGAGTGGATACGTCGCCGAACTGTTGATCATAATGTCCACGGTTCGAGTCCTGCCCCGGCACTAATGTCCTTTAGCAAGAAATTGATCGATTTCTCTAAAAATGCAATTCTATTATCAAAACATTAGATAAGCCTTGCAAAAAAAGACAAAAATAAAAAAATAAAACGCCTGTGAAATATAACTTTCTTGTTTTTACCTGTGCCTGATTAGCTTGCTGGCTCTTCTTTTTCAAAAGATAAGCTTCAATTCTTTGCCTGAGTTTTATTAAGAACATCTCCGCAGCCCCTTGCTTGGCTGTGATTAAGCCACGTATATCTCTCTCCGGTACTTGAAATTCAGTTTGGTCAGCACTTTCCTGTAGATAATGAAGAGTTTATTAAATTATTACTAATCAAATAGGAAATATCAATGATCAAATCATTAGACCGAGCTAAACAGATGATCTCACAGGCAATGTATAACTTTTTAAAGTCAGAATTTATTCTTCTCCATGTTGTAAAAGATGGGTTAATTGTTAAAGGTTCTCAGGCCGAATGCTTAGCTCACAGTAAGAGAGAGAGAGAGAGAGAGAGAGAGAGAGGGTGGAGAGAGAGCGGAAGAGAGCGTATACTTGCCTGTTAAGTAATTTCCAGTTTTCTAGCTTGTGTTGAGCTGAGCTTGCAGGAGTGTAATTGTGTAGCTCCACCATACGTGGATTAAAATGATGAACAACTTCCGCTATGAGAACTAAAACAAAAAAGAGAGTGGGATTACGATTAGCATTATTATTAGTTACCACCATGAACATAATTGCACTAAAAAGTAATGTACATAATTATATACACGCCTATTCTACTATTATATTATACTAGGTCTAGATCTAGATCTATAACTAAGCAAAAAGTTGACCGTTCCACTTCCACCAAGTTTCAACCGAGTTCCACTTCCATAAACACTCACTAAGACTCATGAACAAAAGTCAAAACATTTCAAGACAAGAAGAGTCTAGATCTACGATTAATAAGTATTGATTAGATTCTAGATCTAGGATCTACTAGGCCCTATATTTAATCCATATTGTTTTATGCACATCCTTTTTTGGTCTAGACCAGCGGCGGCCGCTATTGCATTGGTTTTCTAGCGGGAGACTCAGTCGCAGCTAGCAGCTCAGCGGCCAGGCATTGCGTTGCTGACAAGCATACGACCCCTGACAGCGCGGCCGCGGCCACTGTACCGTACATGCAAGTCAATGGACAATGCTTCTCACCTGCATCACTGAAATCTCTGCCAACATTTTTCTTTACTCTGCTCAGCGGAATATCGTCTAACCACTTATAAAGTTCTTGAAGCTCTTCATCATCAGGCTCCATTTTTTCCTCTGCGTTTATTTCGTCAGGCATTTAAATATGTTTTTGAGTAATTCTCGGACGTAAAAACTCAATCAGCTCCGTTCACTGACTCAATACACTAATTACAGCTTCACGTCGCCATGATTGTTGTTAGCCAAAACAATGACGTCACAACTAAACCGGCACATGCCATGCCGGATCGGATCGCATATCGGATAATTTGACCAAGCAACCCAATTCCACAAAATTAACATTTTGTAATGAAGGCAGCAATTAAGACCAGTCCAAACATTAGAAGAAGGAGAGGGACATAGGCTTTCATCGCACTGTTCATTCAGTAGGCCTACGTGAAGGGGTGGGGGCGCGGGGGGGGGGGGGGGGGGAGGGGGCTCGGACGGGCTCGAAGTTCATGTAATCGAGGCGTCAGAAATAATTGACGAATTGGATTTGAAAAAAACTACAAAAAGGCAATTAACTAACAATAAATACATGTAAATGTATGGGAGCTAGATCGAGTGTTCAAAATCGATTGCCATCACTCCCTGATTTACATGTATTTTGGGGGCATAGTCTGTCTGTCTCGTTCTCGTCTCTCTCTCTCTCTCCAGTCTCTCTCTCTCTCTTCCCTCCGCTCATTAATATTCTTTATATCATCATGTTATGATTTTTTTTAAATTCCGAATAAGCTAGCCATGATTGTTGAGAAAAAATAGATTTCCTTATTTTCTTAAGTATGTGATAGCCTTCTATTGGGGAATTTAGGGCCTACCCTCCCTTCAATAAAAGATAATGACGTCACACGTCAGTAAAGGGGGGGGGGCGGCCATTGCAAAATAATTCAATGGGTATATTTTACTAAATATGCTTGACCGTTTTTAGCTGTTATGTTCAATATAATTTCTGTAAATTCGTATCGGGGGCAATTACCACCTGGACAGTCAACCCCGGGAAAAAAAAACAAGGACCATTACCCCTCCCCCGGACAATTGCCCCCCCCCCCCCCGGAAATATGATTAGGTGTTTTTTATAAAACAGAGTTTTTTTCGGAAGCTATTTGTCCTCGGTGAGAGGGGGGGGGGGGGGTTGGTGTCTTAGGGGGATAATTTTCAGGGGGGGGGGGTAATATTCCCGGGGGAAAATTTCCGACCTAGGTTATTTTACGGGGGTAATTTTCCCGCTGGTAATTGGCCGGGGATGATTGCTCAGGGGGTAGTTTTCCTAAAACTCGTAAATTAAATGGTCTTCACATGCACTTCTCAGAATTTTTCAGCTATTTGAATGTGCATGCCTTGTAGATGAGTGTTTGGTTTCCATTTACGATTGTAAAAATGTAATGATGTGGTGAGTTTTGTGGATCTTTACACTAATGTATACGATTTTTGGGGGGTGAAATAAATCTAGCACTTTACACACAAGTCCTGCGTCGTCACGGTGCTATTCGAAATCACCATTAGCTACAAGAGTCATGTAGTTTACGAGAAGAAAAAAATCTAACTTAAAGGTCGTCGGATTTTGGGGGTGCTTTTTTTCAAACACAACCATTTTCTTACATACAGGAACTAGAATAACAAAGGTAATCACAATTTCGTAATGCCCTTTTTTTTAAATCACCTATGCCCCCCCCCCCTCGAATTGCCACGGAAGAAGTAATAGCTGTACGAACAGTAATACTTTGTTTTATTATCAAATTATGACTTGTATCACATTGCTCTGTTTTTATTTGTTTTGTTACTTTAATGTATATGTTTCTATTTCTTTATTTGTACACTGTCGCTCGTAAAGTTGGAATATTTTTGTTTTACCCCAATTTGTGGAATTATTTAAAATATAATATAAAAATAATAGATCTAGAATAGTATACATTCTCAGATTTTATTGAATAATAATTTGACAAATGTGTGTTTTGCGTGACTGCTAAAGCATGTGTATGCTACTATGCTTATCAACTGGGGACCTATACCCTTAAGTCGTAAATGACAGTAATGATGATTAATGCCCCACAAAGGGCACTAATATAGCACATCAACACGGTTTTGATCCTGGGGCCTCACAGTTACAGGCCATTGCTTTGTCATGGTCATGGTTCAGTGACAAAGCAGTGGCCTCGTAACTGTGAGGCCCTAGGATCAAAACCGTGTCGATGTGCTATATTAGTGCCCTTTTGTGGGGCATTAATCCTCATTACTGTCATTTATGACTAGTTGATAAGCATAGTAGCATACACATGTTTAGCAGTCACGCAAAACCACATTGGCAAATTATTATTCAATAAAATTTGAGAATGTATACTTTTATCTAGATCTTTTATTTTTAAATTATTTTTAAAATAATTCCATAAATTGGGGTAAAAACAAAATATTCCAACTTTATGAGCGACAGTGTATATATCTTTTCGGTAGATACAACAACAAAATTCTCCTCAGGTGGGACTAGGGACTAGTATCAAACAGTTTCTGCAGAAGACTGGACAGAAATTCAGCTAATTCACTGATTTTTTTTTGTTAAGATGATGAAGAACAGCTCTTATAAATAATAATAATAGTTATGATAATAATGAAGATAATTATGATGCATGAGATTTGCAAGGCACTTAATCCACTTGAATTCTTAAAGCTCAAAGTGCGTCTGTACTAGTCTGGCCAGGAGGATTATACCAAACGGTGTGGTCACTGACAGGTGGCTATCTATCTCATCAACTCAGCTCTCAAATAACATAAGGAAAAGAGAATTATGGGGGCCCAATGGTCAACGATTAGGCATTGTTTTCTATATAGAGGGAGCAAGTAGCTACAAGTATTACAGTGGGGCTTTAAGGCGCGGTAAAAAAATAGATCACATCAACATATCTGCACTATATAAACAAAGGACAGAAGATAGAACATGCACAAATGACACAACAAATAATATTATATGCCGAATTGAAACAGATACGTTTTAAGATTATATTAATACTTAAAACTTCAACTGATCTGCTGTTACGAATCTCTCGAGGAAGATCATTACATCAGCGAATTAAGGTTTTTCCCCTATTAATAATAATAATAATATGTCTTGTTTTCCCAGGGTAGCCTCATCAGTATTTATTCTGTTCTCCCTGAGGGCCCTGCAATCATATTATTACTACAGTCATCGGATTCAGGCTTACCCGCACACAAAGTATGCACATTCTCCACTCCCTTGGGAGCATTCCAGCCAGGCGTCATTTTTAACAAGCGCACACTTGCCAATCTAAAGCACATTAGCTTTCGCATCCTACCGGGTACCAACACCTGGGGGAGAGTGGCAATGTAGATCAATGTCTTGCCAAAGGACGTTAGTGCCGCAGTGGAACGCGGACCCTGTGATCCACAGTTAGGTGACATATCCACTCGTCCACGACTCCTCTACATAATTATTTATGAGCTTAGGAAGAACAAGAAATCCAGAGTTTTGAGAGCGTACATTAGATCTGACGGAATGTAATGATTTTATAAGTAATATTGTGCTGTGGAGCAGAGCCAGGCGCGTACGCAGGGGGGGGGGGTTTTTGGGGGGTTAAACCCCCCCCTTTGGAAATTTTTTGTGTGTAAACCCCCCTAAAAAAAACCTAAAAACCCCCCCCCCCCCCCCCCCCCCTTTTTTGATTTTTTTTTTTTTTTTTTTTTTTTTTTTTTTTAATTATTAAAAAAAAAAAAAAATTATTCCCATGGCCGACCTAAAAAAAAGGTGACCTTACACCCCCCCCCCAACAGAGCAAAATGTCAAATTTCCAAATTTCGAGACCAAAAAAAAAAAAAAAAAGTGTCCTCTTACCCCCCCCCCCCCCCCCCCCCCCCCCCCCCCTCTCCCCCCCCGCTTATTCAGCGGCTGGCTGAGTCGTTGCGAAATTTTCGGACCGATTTATAAATGTTAAAACCCCCCCCCTTGAAAAAATCCTGCGTACGCGCCTGAGCAGAGCCATATAGACACAATGAAATAAAAGCAATATGAAATTGAAAATCAAGTTTTGACACATGGGCAACCAAAGGAGTGCTTTGAGAACTGATGATATATTATGTGACTGTGTTTGCTGGATAGGGTCACTATACGAGCAGCAGCATTCTGTATTCTTTGTATTCGTACAAGCTGATGTTGAGGTACATGTTTACAACAAATTAAAGAGCATTTACAAAATCAAGGTGGGATGAAATTAAAGCATGGATAATCATCTAGGTGGCACTGCGAGTTAGGTATTTATATGCATGCGAATCAGTTACGCAACTCATACCGGACTAATTTAGAGACGTATTGAATTAGTGGAGACATCGTTATGTTTGAGTCGAAAAACACACACCGAGTTTACGAAATACACGAGATTCAGCATTATTATATACAGGAATGGTAATTGAAGTAATAGATACCTTATTGAACTGCGTCTTGGAACCATACAATACAAATTCACATTTTGTAAGATTTCGTTTCAATGAATGTGAGTTTTAAAATTATGAACATCCTGTACACAGCCTCAATTAAGATTAGGCCTTTAAAACAACGATGTTGTATTGCCCTTTGCGACCGACCCAACATTTTAAATTTTACGGTCGGCTTAAAAAAAGAAAAAAAAAAAGAAGATTTTTTAGAGAAAAAGAATATTTGAGCATTTAAAAACTGAAATATATCAGCCCAAAGAGGGAAAACAATTTAGGAAAAAACAATTGCGACCAACCGACCCACGTTTCAGCACCTAAAGGGCAATACAACATCTTTTTTTATATGCCTTTGGATAGCGCTGGCTGCAATGCTTTGGCAAAGTTTAAAAGAAGTGATTATTTGAATATGTTCTGCACAAATAATTTTTGATATCGCAAAGAGTGGTGTTTAAAAATTTAGGAGGCGAGTGGGCTCAGTCGGTACATCGTCATCGTCCTGCCTGTCAAACCAAAGTTCGTGGATTCGAATCAAACCAAGGCGGATGACTGAAGCCTGTGTTGTGTATTAACGTGCCCCTTCCCTGTTTCATCATAGACACAGGCTATGTTAAGTTGAAAACTATCCGTCCCTCGGATAGGACGTTAAATGGAGGCACCGTGTAGAGGAGGGTCACCACCTTTGTACGTTAAGAACCCACTGCACTATTCGTATATTAAAGAGTAGGGGATAACCCCGGTGTAGTGGTCCACCTGCACACCCCAATCAGTTACACGGGGAGGAGAGA